GTATGATTCTTAAAAATAAGACAAAATTGAGTCAAATCAAATATTTCAAGAATCTTACCAAGTAAAATTTTCTTACTCCACTGGCAGAAAGTTTTCACTTAATTTGAGTCAAATTTTCAGACGAACAAGACAAATAATCTTCTGAAAACAAGATTATTATTCTTACACAATCAGTTCTTGTTTAGTAAACCAGTTTCAAAACAAGATCAAAAAGACTTTTTGGCTGATATAAGATTTTAAAGCTTGGTTAGATGGACAGTTTTTGCAGTGTAAGCCATCGTTAGGCTAACAGAATTGATGAAAAATGTACTTTTGAACCAAAACATTACATAATTCTTGCGTTCGCAGCGTTGAAGACAAACACTTTCTATTCTGAAGCTGTTTGTAGCACCAACGAGGAGCAGTGCACGTGTGTTTAAAGCTTAACGAAAGAAGTCTTATTGTCCTGAACACCCCTCCCCTGCTTATTTTCCCAGTTTGACTCCAGCAGATCTGTGGGGACTAAATGGGGCTCCTAACAGCCCCACACTCTCAGGTTGATGGGCTTCAACGTGACCCCTGCACCGCTCTTTATCCCGACAGGTTGCACAAACAGTCCCGCCTCTTCTGATCCGGTCTTTCCGTCCCTGAGGTTTCCACTGACTTCACGTCTGAAGATTGTYCCCCCCAAGGAGTGCGACGGCCATTTCTGCCCACAGCCTTTTCGTGTCCTCGCTGTACTGTTCTGTCCCAGCTGTGTGGCATCGCCAAAACAGGCTTCTTCGCTTTCATTTTCCCTGCTCTCGCTCTCTCTCTCTGAGGTTTCTCCTCTTTATTGGATAGTGCAAAAGCAGAACCACAAACCAATTCCAGTCACTCTTGCAATGAGGCTTGACGGGCCCAATTTGTCTCCCTCTGGGGCAATAGGATCCACTCCAGTGTCCCTCAAAATACCCCTTTCCTCCTGAAAGAGACGGGGCCTTTTTTTGTTTGTTTGGAGGCAGTAGTTGGCGCTACCGATGGTGTGCACGTTACAGTCCAGCTGCGTCATCACGTCTAAYTGTGTTTGGGCAACAATCAAACCGTACAT